CCAAGGCAGCATCCTAAATGGTTCTCCTGCCTTTGCCCATCTATTGTAATTCTTTAGTCAGCAGAGTGATGTTATTACAAATGTATGTCAGATCATATCATTCCTCTGTTCAGAATCAACCAATTGCTCTCCATCTCACCTGGAGTAAAAGTGAATGAATGATCACAGCTATAAGGCCTATATAATCTATACCACACGCGCCCCCCACTTCTCTGACCAGGTTTCTGTGTACCTTTGCCTCTGCTCACTTCTCCAGCCTCCTTATCATCCTTAATATTTTATGAATACACCAGGCCTGCTGTACCTAATATATTTTCACAGAGAGCAAGATGGCTTGCTCCCTTACCAATTTTTAGCTCTTTCTATAAATGGCATCTTCTCCATAAGGTCTTCCCTGACCAACCTATCTGTCACAGACAAAAAATCACAACTACCTCTCCCTACTCAGTACCAATCCTTTTCCATGCTTCTGGGAGAAAAGGAAGAGAATAGAATGAGAAAGGGGAAAGGGCACATCATCTCATAATGATAGTACATGTATTGTTCTTAAACATTTACATATTCATTCTATTAGAGTAGTTTCATGAGAGAAGGAATTTTGTCTGTTTTGTTCACTACTTTGTCTGGAGCAACTAAAACAGAATCTAGCACATGACCAAAAAAGGTCAAAGGATAAGCATGTAAAACATGGCAAAAACAATTAAAAATATATTCCTTTACTTTTTCTTTCTTTCTTTTTTTAAAGAAATTCCTTCCTGCTATACTTGAATCTCCCAAAGTTAAGCCAAATTTAAGATTTCATGAGTTCATTTACTCATCCACCAAAAAATGTATCAAGTACCTGCTCTATATCACTGTTTCAGGCACTGAGGAAAACACAAGATCTTTTTGTGTCAAAATACAATTTCAGGGCACCTGGATGGTTCAGTTGTTAAGCGGCTGCCTTCAGCTCAGGTCATGATCCCAGGGTCCTGGGACGGAGGCCCACATCAGGCTTCCTGCTCGGCGGGAGGCCTGCTTCTCCCTCTCCTGCTCCCCCTGCTTGTGTTCCCTCTCTCTCTGTGTCTCTCTCTGGCAAATAAATAGGTAAAATCTTTAAAAAAATTTTTTAATTAAAATCAGATTCAGAAAAATATCTTGACCAACACTGATGACAGTAAATCTTTACCAAGCAAATTCTGATGGAACCACTATGGCAGGTAAATCAAAGTAACATTGTGGATAAATGACTGTGATGCAATTCAGTGGAAAGGACAGCTCTATTCACAGGGGAAAGATTCTTCAAAGAGCTGAAAAAGCTACTTTATGTGTAAGTTCTAAGAGGCTCTCAACTCTGGCTGCACATTAGAATCACCTAGGGGGCTTTTAAAGAAAACTGAGGTCTGGGCCCAACCCTTAATCAAATGAAACTCAGTCTCTAGGGGTGGAGCCAGGCATCTGTAGTTGTTAAAAGCTCCCCAGGTAATTCTGATGCACAATTGGTTTGAGAATCACTGTTTTACAAGTTCCTATTATTGATTATCATTTCAAAGGGAAGGATACGGTTATTTATGTCAACTCTTTTCCACTGCCCGTATTGATTGAGAAGATCTCTCAACATTAGTCTCTGTTATCAATATGGCACTTTTTTTTAGAGACCTCATGAAGAAGTCCTAGCCCACAAATAGTCACATACCTTCTGAAGTTGTTCCTACTAGAATCTGAAGACCCCATGAGTTATCTTACCAGAGATACTCTATATACTCTAAATAACTGACATTTTCCTAAAAAGTGGCAAAGCCAATTTAAGCAATTTTTATTAAGGCTATAGATTCTGACCTGTAAGTACTAAAAAGTAAAGATTTAAAAAACAATATCAAGGTTTCTTATATTTGTGTGTGATTAATGATCTTGTAGTTGCATCATTTCCATGCTATCTAATAAGAGTAACCACCTCAGTAATCAGAACAATCATGTCATTCAGATATACTGTTATTACTTGGACATTCACTTTCAAACCTAAACATTCTAGATGAAGTAAAAATGTCCTTATATGTTTTTGTCAGTCAGAAAAATAAAATGCTGCAGTAATCAATGATGCTTGTGAAAACCATTCATTTTATGTATAAAATAATTAGTAAAGATTTTTGATTAGTAAGCAAAATAGATCAACAGTTAATACAAATAGCAAATACATTAAATAGATTACTTTCTTGAGAATGCTATATCTGGAAAAAATGCTTATATAAATTCAAATATTGTTAGGACAGAATAATAGAGATAAGATTTTATACTAATTCGATCTTTGCAAAACTCTACTATATACCAGCATTCACAACATTAAAGAAAATAACTATGGTTAAAAAGGAACAACAGGCCCCTAAATGGAGTCCCTTATGCTAAGACCAAGACTTAACACCTGGACCTAACTGTAGTTTTAGCCTCTCCCAGGAGTGGAGTTTTAAACCCATCAGTCTGGAATTTTCTGATCACCACTAAGGAGGTAATCTGCATGATAAGACCCTCTGCCTTTCCCTCTAAGGGAAGGTGACCTTTGCGTGAAACAATCCTTTATTTTTTTTTCCTAATAACTTCCTTGTCCTGTCCCATTTCTGCCTACAAATGCCTTCATTTTGTACAACCCCTCTGAACATCCTTCCATTTGTTAGATGAAATTCTGCTTATTTCATTAATCACTGAATAAAGTCAATTAGCTCTTTAAAAATTGACTTGATTGAATTTTTGTTAACAGCTTTAAGGGCTACATTTTAATTTTATTTAATTACTACCATTTAAGTTATAAATATTCAAGAAAATGGCCTATTGGGGAATTCTTAGAATCTTGCGATGATGAATTTAACACATCACTTCAAAATATCCTGAGCTGCAAAAGTACTAAATTATGTAAATAGACATGTAATAATCTTAATACAATCTTTAATCAAAATAATAAAAATGTTGGGGTGCCTGGGTGGCTCAGTGGGTTAAGCTTTGGCTCAGGTCATGGTCTCAGGGTCCTGGGATGGAGCCCTGCATCAGGCTCTCTGCTCAGCAGGGAGCCTGCCCCCCCACCCCCCCGCCTATTTGTTTTCTCTCTGTGTGTGTCAAATAAATAAATAAATACTTAAAAAATAATAGAAATGTTAAGACAAAACTGTTAAGAGTAAACTGAGGCACCCTTAACAAATTCTGTTGAGTCAAACTTCACAATAAAAGACTCTACAAGAATGTCTTAAAACAACTCCTAAAGTCTTGAGTCTATAAAGGCTCAATATTTAAATATAAAGTGGTACAAATGATCCTCTCAGAAGATTAAGATAAGGTTTTTTGAGATTTGCCCAAACTATGAATCCTAGATCCTTCTAGTATATATCTTATTGAAAAACAATTTCCTGAATCACTTCGTGGCATACAAAAATGTTAGTGATGTTTTTAAAGGTGTTGGTTGAAAGTGAATGGCTATTTGGTTTTACTGATATATAGTACAGTGACTGTAAGAGAAATCTAACAGTTAACAATATCAAGAAATAATTTCTGTAATGTAATTTTAAACTTTTAAAATTTATTACTACTGTTGATAACAATAAACCCTAATGATTATTTATTGGATGGAATGATTCTTCTAATTTAGAAGTTTGTTCAACGTTGGTGCTATCTAGTTTCAGCCATAGGCAAGCAATGATTTTAATATTTGGTCACTGGCATTTGGCCAAAATGTGTATTTGGTGCACCTCTACTGATAGGGTGTTTAGAGGCCTATCCTTATGCTTCTTGGTACAGAACACAGCCTTAGCCTGGATATTTTCACCTTGATGGTTTTAGAAAAATCCCAACTGCTCTGTTTCTTCCTTTCTTTATACTTCTTATCACTTCAAATCCGTTCCACACAATTCAATATTAAACTACCCATTGTTTTTGTACTGTTCACTGTGCTCAACTTATTTTCTAACAGGAGAGTTCTTCCTTGAGGGTGGGCATAGTGCTTCTTCTGCATTGCCTATAGTGTGTAGCAGCACAGTGCTGGTCATTTGATCTCTATCTACTAATTCACTAAGATTCAGTATGTTGCTGGCTCAACCACCTTTGTGTCTGAGACACCATTTTTCTTCTTAATTTTAGGCTACTCTATAAATAAACAATCCAAAACTAACTATATCAAGGTTTGAGCAAAGAAGATCCTGCATTTAATAAAAGATAATGTTTAGTGGAGAAGAAAACAGAATACTATTCTTAGATCTAAGACACTGAACGTAAGTCACTTTTTTCACGTTTTTTGTTAGAAAGCCCTCTTGCTCAACTATAGACCCCAACAGTTAAAATCAGAACTAGACAAGACTTAACATAGGCTTAACAAAACTCATGTCTTAATTAAAACCCAATGTGCTTATTTCTTATTGTACTTTCTTGAGGCATTGATGAAGGTGTTTTGCAATGCTCCAGAACACCCAAACTGCTGGACCAGAAAAGCCATGATAGCAAATGCCTAGGAATAAACCTAGGATAGGAATTCCTAGAAGATTATATCCCACATGTGTGCTTCCCTGCCCATGATTATGGGCTGACCACATACTGATCCTGACCCATGATCATATGCTCCCTGCTGCTTTCTTGCATGGACCTTCCTAAATCTCTCCTTATAAAACTCTAGGAGTCCATCTTGTGCGTGGAGAGACTGGTTGTTAAGACCTGCCATCTCCCCTAGCTGCTGGCACCCAAAATAAATCTTTCCCTTTGTCTTTTCCAAACTCTTGTCTCTTTAGTTATTGGCTTCTCTTGGGACAAGTATATCCAAGTTTGTTCAACAAAAGTGTGGGCAAACCCAGCCAGGAGCTATGCTTTTGATTAGTCCAGCCCCCTCGGGATTTCCTAGGATGGAGCAGTTGGCCCTGGGTTTACTCATTCATTTCCTGAGTTGGGGGCTATGATACATTATTAGGGAACACAGTCTTTCTATGGATTCTGCAAGGCAATCACAAGAAGTCAAAATAACTGAGAAGGAAAATTTTGGTATTAACACCAACCTGAAAGTTCGGATGAGATTTTTAAGTTGTGCAGAAATATCTCCTAATGTGATATGAAGAGGCCCCAAAAGTCCAGGGACTCTGAAAAGAAAAAATTACATTCTTTTAAAATATAATTTGTTTATATAGACATATTCTTTTGAGTCTTGCCTAAGTCTGGATTTTCTGTAAGTAATAATGGCACTTAGGTAGAAGCAATTAAGCTAGCTTCTGACTGATGAGAACTCATAAGGATACATTTCATAATAATCCCGTACTCCACTATGTAGTTTACGGTACAGTGTGAGGCACTGAAAAATATTATCCTGGCTGCTACCTATATTCTTATACTTGTTTTTCTTACCTTTACTTTCAAATAATTAGATTAAACGGAAAGAACAGAAGGCCAGAGGAACTGGACCCCCCAAACTGTCCAATTTAGGAGTATGACCTATTTCTCCTTATGAAATCCTTACAGTGGGAGTAGAAACTGATATATTTCTAGAGAGCAATTTGCCAATACATGTTAACATTGTAAATATGGATATTCTTTGACCCAATAGTTTTACTATGAAAAAATTTACCCTAAAGAAATAATCAGATAAACATAAAAAAGATGCTTATTGCAAAAAATATTTTTAGTAGTGAAAAATCAAAATAAATTATGATATAAACATATAGTGGAATATAATAAAACCTTTAAAATGATAACGTGAATCTATATTTTTTAGTGCGGACAGATATTCATGGTGTGTTAAGTGAAAAATGCATATGTAGTATTGTCCCATTTTTATAAAGACTTATATATAATGACACAATACATGATAGACAGTATATTTCAAACATTCCTCCCAGGGTTTTAGTATATTTCATTCCTCCCAGGGTTTATACTATAACAGAGAGAACCAAAGGAAATGAATACACACACACACATATATGTATATTATGTATGCATACATACATAATATACATATTATGCATAAAATATTAATAGTAGTTACTATTCAGTGGGATTACAGATGATCCTTACTTTCTTCTTTAAACCATTTTGTACTGCCTAAATCTTCTGCAATAAGCATGCATTACTTTTTTTTAAACTTATTATAAAATTATAAAGTTTCAGATATATTTCAAAACGGAGAAAATAGCAATAACCACATAAATCTATTCCCAGATTCAACTTCCTAATATTTTGCTAAACTTACTTCATTTTTTTCTTTCCTTCTTTACTTTTTTTGCCAAGTAAATCCCTGACGTCAAGTCATTTGGCCCCTAAATATTTATCTATCTCTAAATACAAGGGCATTTTCTTACATAATTGCAATAAAATTATCATACCTAAACAAATTAACAATTTCTTAATATCATCTAGTACACAATACATATTTCATTTTCTTCAATTATCTAAAAAAAAAGGCCGTTTACAACTGTTTTGTTCCAATCAGAAACCAAAAAAGTCTTACTTTTATTATTATTATTTTTAAAAAGTCTTACTTTTATAATTAGAAAAAACTGAAATGCTTTCATTAATAACCAAAAAAATCCTCTATGTCAATAATTATTTTGTTCTTAGTGTTTTTTTGTGTGTTTCCGCAAGTTATTCTACCTCTTCTCAAATTTAGTTCTTGAGCTATTATCAATAATTCCATCTTCTGGCATGGCAACTTCTGGCATTTTCTATTGCAGCCAAAGCCCAGAAGAAACTGAATTCTTTCAACAGCATAACTATGGAGTGTTAAATTTAAAACTGGGTACTTTCATTAGCTAAAAAGTCTCGAAAACTATTTTCAGATAAATCCCTATCTACCAAGTACATACAAGTATCAATAATCCAACCTAACTTTCAAAACCTGTGTAACCACAATCAAGGATTGATATCTTCTTGTCCTATGAATCAGACATATAGTGACTTTTACTGTTTTCCAACCTAATGTCAAACACAAACAAATGTCTAAGTATGAGGACCATATAAAAGACAAAACTAATAACAAACTTAGATTATCTGGGAGGAGCCTAACGTAAGAGAAACTCGATAAATATTAAACAGTTACTTAAAATGTAAAACTTGGAGGAGTAGGCTGCTCAAAATATGAAGGCTTCCAGAAGATATGTTCTTCTTACCATTGAACTACTACAAAATTAAGACTACTCCATAAGCACAGCCTTTTTTTTTTTTTTTTAAGATTGTAAAGTAATCTCTACACTCAACAGGGGGCTCGAACTCACAACCCTGAGTGAGATCAAGAGTTGCACGCTCCACCCACAGAGTCATCCAGGTGCCCCTAATCCATATACAGACCTTAAACAATGACTGAAAACACCTTTCCATTTTTTCTGCTAAAGAAAGAAAATAGAGATTAAAAAGTTCAAGACGGCCCTCACATCTCTAGAAAAAAGATTTCAAACTTCTTTTGAAAGACAAACCAAGATTACAATTTTTAAATGTCATTTATGACTGGGCTAATTACAAGAAAAATAATTTCCACCACAGGAAGTTTAAAACTAAAGTGCAAAGTTGACTTGAACAAAAACTCTTAAGTTGCTGAGTGTGAAATGGTTCTATAAATATGTATGCAGAGTGAGTTAACAGACCGTTAAAACTTCATAAAGTTTCATTCACATGTGAAACTGATGTGACACATATACCACAAATCAGTATTTAAATGGTTTAACTTTGATATTTTTTTCCCTGACTTCACTGGATTATGAAGTGGAAGTGACACAGTTTAGTTTTCTACTCCCATAATCTCAACCTTCCTCTTCATTATGTGCTTGTGTATCTTCTACACAAGACAAAACTTCAATATTTCCTTGGCAGCATATCTTAAAAAATCTCAACTTCTCAAGTAACTTTCCAAATTATTTTTCAAACTGTTCAAAATTCAAGGATAAAAATTAATATAAATTATGAACCCACAAATACCAAGTTAATTTTAAATACTGTAAAGTGGAATAACAATTACATACTTACACTCTACTCAACTTTTCAAGTACGATGCGTTTTCTAATCTGGTTCTGAGAACTTGAATCTATCAGTGGAAAGGTGGGATCATGCTAAAATCACGTTTTTAAACAAAACAAAGCAAAATCATAAATTTACATTCTTCTTTGATAAGAACTATAAACATTAAAGCACAAAAATTCATACCTGAGGTATGGCAGAATAAAAACTAGAATTGAGAATTATTAGAAGATTTAAATTTGAGCATTGGCTCAGTCATTGGGCTGATGTGAACTTGAGTCATATGCCTGCTTTTGAGAATTTTTTCTTACCTGTATCAAGGGATACTAATACCTTCTTTATTAAACGAGAAAATGTACACAAAAGAACTCTGTAAACTACTAAATGCTATACAAATGTTGGAGATCAAAGCTTTTAAAATTAGCAAATACAAAAAAAAAATAAAATTAGCAAATACTATATATATATATATATATATATATATACACACACACACACACCATATACACATACATATATTATGGGGAATTCCACTTCTAGAAATGGCAGACAAAATAATTCTAACCATTCCTCCTGCTGAGAACTGAAAAAACACTGGGAAAATACCCACATTTGATTGAAAACATCAGAGACTAACAAAGCAGTAAAGAATTAACGCCAGAGATTCTAGAGAAGGTAATTCCAGAGAGGGCAGTGACTAATTCCAGAAGAAGCAATTCAGATACTAAGAACCTGAGCATTGTTTTTCTAATAAGCATTAAAGCTTGGGGAAATGCCAAGAAGGAAGAGGTACTAGCAACCCTTCCCTCCAAGCTCAACTTAGAAGGACCAAACTCTAGCACTAAAAATGAATAGGAAACTGGCTCTTTCAGGGACTGAAGTACAGCTTCAAATCATCTTAATCCCTCATTGAATGAAGTGATTTAGAACTGCTACAAATCATGTGCCTAAAGCAAACAGAAATCTGTTTTAGAGGAAGATAACATCAGTTTGGTCTCAAGTTATCTGTAATTTTTAATATACAATGTTTGCCATAAATAATAAGAAAATAAGACAATATGGTCAAAATCTGAAACATTATCCCATAGAAAACAGCCCCCAGGGAATCTAGAAAATGATGTTATCAACTTTATTTAAAATACCTACGTTGAGGGGCACCTGGGTGGCTCAGTCATTAAGCATCTGCCTTCGGTTCAGGTCAGTGAAAAACTCCAACTGAATACAGACTATAAATCATCTTACAGGATTTAAAATATAGACAGAATAAAAACAGACAACAAGAACACCTAAGCACAGAGAAGGTAAACAGAATTACAGTTTCTAAGGTACTAACTATCTAGGAAGCAAAAAAATTAACTTATATTGGACTTTTATAATAATTCAATTAACTCAGATTTTAATCTTTAGAGTAACCACTTCTGATTAGTAAAGTATAAAAAGCAAGCTAATAGACGGTAAACAACGAAACAGTACTATTTAATTCAACAAAAGCAGGAAAGGAGAAAAAGAGGAACATAGAACAGATGAGACAAGCAGAAAGCAATGAGTGAGATGGCACAAACCCAAATATATCAATTATGACACTGAATGTAAACAGACTAAATTCTCCACATAAAAACAATTACCAGCCTAAGTAAAAAAAGGCAGTCCTGAAAATACTAATAAAAGAATGCTAATGCTAGCAAAACAGACTGTAAGAAAAAAAAAAACTTACCAATGTAGTGGAAGGTCACTCATAATACAGAGGTTCAATTTACTAGGAAGACATAACAATCTTTTTTTTAATACCATATAACATGGTCTCAAAATATTAAAAGTAAAATTTACTAAAAAAAAAAAAAAAAAAAAATTTACTAAATCGAAAGTAGAAATAATCCATAATTATGATGAAAGATTACTTTTTTTTTAGATTTTATTTATTTATTTGACAGACAGAGATCACAAGTAGGCAGAGAGGCAGAGAGAGGAAGGGAAGCAGTCTCCCTGCTGAGCAGAGAGCCAATGGGGGTGGGGGGGGACTTGAGCCCATGTGGGGCTTGATCCCAGAACCCTGGGATCATGACCTGAGCTGAAGGCAGAGGCTTTAACCCACTGAGCCACCCAGGCGCCCCAATGGTGAAAGATTTTTGACCTACCTCTCCCACTTCTTTTAGTAACTAACAGAATGAGCAACACCTCTCCCCACCTTCCCCCAGTCAATAGTGTTTCTCAAACTTTAATATGCACACATTTCCCCAAAGGAAAATAATGAAATCTGACCCATACTGCTCATCATAAAAATCAATTCTAGGATGAAAGGAAAAACAATCTAGAAGATGAAGTAACCTGGGCTAAACAAAGATTTCTAAAGAAGTCACTAAAGGGAACAATTAATAAATTGGACCCAAGATATCATTAATGAGAGTGAAAAGGCAAGTCTCAGAGTAGAAGATGATATTTGCAAAACACATTAACTAAAAATGGGTTTGAATTCTGAATAAAGAATTTCTTCAAAATCGGTAAGAAAAAATACTTAGATATTCCAACAGATAAATGGGAAAAAGACCTGAAAAGACACAAAAGTGACATTCCAAATGGTCAAAAAGCAAATAAAACCATGCTCAACTCATTAATCATTAGAGAAATATATTATAATATAAAAACAGTACCACTGAAATGGTGAGAATTAACAATGTCAAGTACCAATCAAGAATGTGGATCATGGAAATTCTCATACAGCTGTAGTAGACTAAAAACTGGCAAAACTATTTTGGAAAACTGGCATCATCCAGTATAGCTGCATATACACATACACTGTGACCCAAAAGTTCAAGTCCTAAATACACACCCAACAGAAATACACATACCTTAGAAGAGAGACATAGATAAGAAAGTTTATAACACTACAGCCCTAAACTGGAAAAGCCTAACTGCTCATTAACATGAATAAATTGTGGCCTATTTCTATGAGATACTATGCAGCAATAAAAGAATGAACTATAGCCACATGGAACAACACAAAAAATGACTCATGAACTAACACTGCATGAAATAAACAGGAAACCAAAGAACATATACTATGTGAATTTACTACAGTTCAAAACTGGCAAAGTGAACCCATGTTTTACTCATTTTGGAAAGAGGTAATAATTAGGAGAAGACATAGTGGGGCTTTTGTTTTACTCAAATTTCTTGGCCTGAGTAATGATTATAAGGCTGTGTTCCTTTGTGATAATTAATAAATGGCAAACTTACTATTTGCATTATACTTCAATGAAAAAGTTTTAAAATATTATGCAACAGAGGAACAGTCAATTTTCTTTCTTAAGTAATTTTTTCTGTTTAAGGCTTATAGCACAAAAATGATAAAACAAATGATACATTAATGTAGCTTTATGCAGCTGAGTGACAGAGATAAAGGTTTTTCCAAGCTTACTATAAAACTTAAAAATATTGTATAATGATACAATTGAAGTGATTTAAAATAATAGTACTGGGTTAGGGAGCATTCTGTAGAAGTAAAAAATTTCTAAATTTTTACTGTACTTCTACTCTCTTTCTAAATCTCCAAATGTGTTCTTAAATTTAGAGCCACATTTACTCAGAAATCTTTAATAACAAAAGTTGTCAGAAAAACAAGGTTACTGCCCACTCCTCTTCATGCCAAATAACTTCATTTCTTAAGCTATACATGAACATAAAAATGGGTAAGAGAAATACTAAGAGAATCCCTCCCCCTTAATCTCAGCAACATACATTTAATCTCTACAGATAATTATTACTTACTGAGTACTAACTGTCTATCAGGCATTGTGATAAATGCTTTACCTACATTATTTTTAAATTCTTAACAACTGAAAAAGGAAAGCTATTTATATATAGTCCCATTTACAGATGAACACTCAAATTTAAGAGACCAATTTTTCATACAGCTAGTAAATGAGAGAGCAGATATGAAAATCTAGGTCTGATGTGTTCCTTCCATTTTCTCTTATGTTTATTATTTCCCAATACATCTCCTTTACTATATTATTTTCATTGATATTATTTTGAATGGGCATGCTGGCCAAATACTATACAGATAAATATTTTACCATTCAACTAGTAAGTCTACTCCACTGTGTACAGACCCATTGGAAATGAAATACAAAGATACATGCTCCATGTAGAGATTTGAAAGAATATAAGAATACAAAGAATATCTGTTGGTAGGGGGGAAAAAGCCTCTCTAGAGAGTTTACATATTATACAAAGAACTAGGTTTTAAAGAAAGCTTTATCCCACAATTCTAGGCTACTCCTATATTAGAGAAAAATACTACACATTTATGAAATTTCCTGGGTGCAAATGTCAACTTATTTGGAAAATTGTAATGCCAATACTGGAGATGGCATTTAAAAAAAAAAAAAGATTATATTTATTTATGAGAGAGAGAGAAAGAGCACACAAATGGTGGGGGCGGGGAGGCAGAAGAAGAGAGAGAATCTCAAGCAGATTCTCCACCAAGCAGGGAGTTGGAAATGGGACTTGATCCCAAGACCCTGAAATCACAACCTGAGCCAAGGGCATACACTTAAGGGACTGAGCCACCCAAGTGCCTCTGGAGATGGCACTTTAAACCAACTGATAAACTAAACAAACCTGAAAATTTAACAATTATTTCTTTAATGTTACTGTTTCAAGATTTGTTATGGTGAGTGTCCCATATGCTAGCAGCACAGAAAACTTAAATCATCGTTAAGACATACCTCTTCAGAGTCTTGTGATTTGGTGGTTTCTTCACTCAAAACATATCGTCCTCTATAAAACTCCCTTATCCTCAGATTTAATGTTTCAGTTTCTTTCTTCAAGTTCTCATAACTTGGCAGTGGTTTAATGGCTGTATCTGAGGCCCTAAAAGGTAAAGACTCATCCAAGCTATTCTGAGATTCCTGCAAGGCAGGAGAATGTTTATCTGAGTCAGAGCATATGTCATCTTCATCAAATTCTTCTTCTTTAGCCAGAGGGGATGAAGAGAGTTTCAGACACAAAGAAGCATAATTTTGGCCATTCAAAAACCTCAAAGTTTCTTCTGTCTTCCATTCAGTCAAAGTCTCTTTCAGGACTTTAAGTAAGTTTGCCTTTGCAACTTCGGGACACATCTGCACCGGCCTAGAGGGTGACCTAGAAACTTGGTTTGATTTGGCAAATTTTCTCTTAAAATGCTCAGCACTTTTCTTACTTATGCCTACTAGAGTTATTTTTGAACTACTGTATTTATTTTCAGAATTTTCTGTAGCTTCTAATTTTTCTTGCAAAGGACTATTTGAAGAAATCTGAGTACTTACTTGCTGTAAAGGAAGTTCACAAGCAGCAGCTTTCCCATGACTATCTAATCTGCAATTGCCTAGCTGCTCAGTGACAGCTATTACTGTCTCTTCTTTGTCTTCACATTTGGAGTTAGCTTTCTGACCAGCTTTCTTTTTCATTATGCTTTTTTTGGGCAGCTGTGAACTTATACCTGTTGCATTTGGTCTGTTTCCTGGTAGAATGGTGGAAACAAAGTCTTGCTCATTATCACTGCTACTATCACTATGAGAGCTAGAAGCACTAGATTCATAATGCATCTCAAAATGGCCAGGATTGTCAATATCTGATGTTTTAATGGCCTTAGTGCATAACTGTACTTCCTTTCCAGAATGGCCACTGTAGAAGGAAAAAAAAACATTAACTATAATGGAAAAGCAAAATGTGCCACAGCATTTATATTTTGTAACTTTCAAGATAAAAATTTGTACTCCCTAGGCAAAGCCTTATTTATAGGCATATATATATATACACATACATATATACACATTTCCAAAGACTACTATAAATCTATTATTTCTCTATACCTTATTTGATATAATTCCACCATCTTCTTTCCATCTTTTTCCCCATTACTTAAAAAGTGTTAAAAGTACAGCAAAAAGAAAAAAGCTTTGATAATTCCATTCTGATGAATTATGTTGATTTTTGCCTGTTATATTTCTGTGAATATTTAATATATCCTTTTTTAAGATTTTATTTATTTATTTGACAGAGATCACAAGTAGGCAGAGAGGCAGGTGGGGGGTGGGGGGAAGTAGGCTCCCTGTTGAGCAGAGAGCCCAATGTGGGGCTCAATCCCAGGACCCTGGGATCATGACCTGAGCTGAAGGCAGAGGCTTTAACCCACTGAGCCACCCAGGCACCCCTCATATATCCTTTTGAAAAAAAGGTTTTCTTTTAAAAACTTCACTCTCGCTTTGTCAGAAAAATGTATTACAGAAACTCTGCTTAGATTTTGAAAGATAACAGGCTAAAAAGACATATTTAAACATTTTCCAATTCTGGTTGATAGTTATACAATTTCATAGATAGAACAAAAACACTAGAAAGTCATAGCAGAAAATATAAAGTCAGCAAATTAACATTTACTGATGAAAGATATATTTGAAAACTCAGAGTTACAACAGAAGGCTAACAATAAAAAATAGTTTTCCCTTTGATTATGTTCCTTCAATTTTCAAATAGGCTTAAAAAAGATTAAGAATTGTGAAAGAATGAAGGAAAAGAGAAGCTGTATCTATACAAACTTGAGATATGCAATGATAGATAAGCAGGTACTTTCAAGGAAATGCACATATCAAAACTTTAAAAGATTAGGATTCTGGGTCAAGCGGGGGCACTTGGTGGTAAAAGAGTATATGGGGAAAAAAAGAGTATATGGGAACTTTCTACTTTTCAGGCAATTTTTCTGTAAACCTAAAATTGCTCCCTAAAGGTGCTATTAATTTTTTTAAATGATTAAAGAATAAGATGAAATAAAATAATGCAATAGTAAGAAAAAAAAAGAAGTGTGCCAGGTAAAAGTATAAAAAAAAAGAAAAAGAAAAACAGAGTTGAAAGTAAGGATGTGGATGGGAATAAAGAAAAAATGACAAGTCTATTCAGTATTAGATATCACTTTTTTAGTTAGAAGCTAGCCTATATATGGCCATGGGATTATCTCCTGCATCTGAAGTATAATTTCAAAAAAATTAGAACACTTTGACTTTCAGGTTTCATACTTTCTCTTAGAAATTTAAGGTAATTATATTTTTCTATATTACTTTAAAGCCATAATTAAAAATATTTATCAATAACTATCTCTCACATGTGCTCAATTCCATGTGCTAAGTTAGCAACTAATAACCAGGAAAATTTATCCTGATAAAAATTAAAAAAAAAAAAAAAAGTCTTTTAAGAGATGGTTATAGTTGGGCAAACACCACCACAAAGAAAGTTTAGAAAATATCACAACTTGGAATTTCTATTAATGCTTTAGACACTCTTCCAAATAACAAATGATATATTAAGTTTCAAAATCCTATAAAATAAGGTTATAAAAACCTTTCAACAAATGTAATTGGTATAATCTACTTGACAAAGAAGCACAGTATCTCAGATGGAAGCTCTGTTTGTGTCATATTTCAACAGGTTCAATTAGACTGCCTTGGTAGGAACAGCTGTACAATAAATCATACAGATCAAACATAGCATCTTATCACAAAAGAAAAAGCTGTACAAGGCAAATATTTCTTTGTGTAGGCTAAAATGGGCACTTACATAATGTATCAACACAGGAAGTCTAAGAGCTCATATCACCTGGTTTACTCTTAATGTTTCTATTAACATGAATATATAGAAGGTAAGCAATACTGATTCAACCATACCTTTGTCCTTCCTGTAGCAGCTGAAAATCAGGATGCCTGTGACAAAACACAGCAATAGAAAATTGAAAGCAACTGATATGTCAAACATTTGAGTGTTTGTTATAACTACATTGGATAGAAAATATATTTAAAAGGAAATGGTTCATTTTAAGTTTTTTTAAGAAAAATTTGAAGGACGAAGTATTATGGAACTCATCTGTAAGAAATCTGGATTAATCTCTTTCTTTTCCAAAATTTATTCATATCTTAGGAGTAAATTCAATTTCCATGAGCCCAGTAAAATTTTCCCTGAATAACCTGACTAAAGTAACTCACTTCCTTCTGTAAATTCCAGAGTATTATCCACTCAGTTAATACCTATTAATCAGGTATTCCTCTAAGACTTAACACTAGAATTCTTATCTATATGTCTTAATTTTCATATGTTTTAGTGTGGTTTCTTAACTAAACTACAAGCTCCTTGAGGGCAGAGATTATGTACTATAATGCTCTTCTATTTCCTCTTTATAGTCAATTTTTATTCTCATTTCTGAGAAAGCAGTTGTATTACAGTACGGATATGAACTATGTATATAATGTGATTTACTTTAATTCTAGGAACAATTATGCTATGCAATACCAGAAATCATATTTGGCTGGATATCATGGATATTTAAAAAGGGGAAGAAAGGGGCGCCTGGGTGGCTCAGTGGGTTAAGCCGCTGCCTTCGGCTCAGGTCATGATCTCAGGGTCCTGGGATCGAGTCCCGCATCGGGCTCCCTGCTCAGCAGGGAGCCTGCTTCCCTCTCTCTCTCTCTCTCTCTGCCTGCCTCTCCATCTACTTGTGATCTCTCTCTGTCAAATAAATAAATAAAATCTAAAAAAAAATAAAAATAAAAATAAAAAGGGGAAGAAAAAGTTCTTAGAAAGCCAACATAAAAAGGAACAAATATAATAGTAAATCTAAGAAGACAGAAAACTCTGTAAAACACTTCTGAAGTGACTCAGAAAAAGTGCCTTCTAAAAATTACAAAACAGATTAAATAAAAGTAAATACACAAAGAAGAAAAAAAAAAGGAGTGATATTCCATGTTCATCAACAGAAAGACTCAATATTGTCAAGATGCCAGTTCTTCTCAACTTGATCTACAGATACAGTGCAATCCCAACCAAAATCCCAGCAAGTTATTTTGGAGGTCTCACCAAATTGAGTCTAAAGATTTAGGGGAGGCAAAAGACCTTAAATAGCTAACAGTATTGAAGGGGAAGAGCAAAGTTGGAAGACTCACATTACCTGACTTCAAGACATACTTTAAAGTTACAGTAATCAAGATAGTGTGGTAGTGGAGGACTAACAAAGAAAAGACTAATAGATCACTAATAGATCAATAGAATAAGTGGAATAGAACAGACAACCCAGAAAGAAACCCACATGATTACAGTCAATTATCCTTGACAAAGAAGCGAAAGCAATACAAAGGAGAAGACCATCTTTTCAACAAATGGTATTAGAAAAAGTGGGCATATATAAAAAAAGTGAATCAAGACAAAGACCAGACACCCTTCTGACACAAAAAGTAACTCAAAACGGATCACAGACCTAAATATAAAACACAAACTATAAAACTTCTACAAGATAACCTGAGAAAATGTAGATGACTTCTTACATAGGACACCAAAAACACAATCCATGAAAGAAAAAATTGATAAGCCAGGTTTCATTTAATCAAAAATTTCTGCTTTGTGAAAGATATTGTTGAGAGAATAAAAAGAAAACCATAGATTAGGAGAAAATATTTGCAAAAGACTATTATCCAAAATATGAAATAACTGTTAAAACTCAAGAATAAGAAAACAACTCAATAAAAATGAGTCAAAGATTTTAACAGCTCACCAAAGAAGATACAAGGATGGCAAATAAGCATATGAAAAAATGCCGTACATCATACAGCATCACCAAAATACAAATTAAAACAATAATGAGATACCACTACACATTTATTAGAATAGCTAAAATCCAGAACACTGACAACATCACATGGTGGTGAGCACTTGGAGCAGGAGAATTCTCATTCATTGACAGTGGGAATGCAAAATGGTACAGTCATTGTAAAATACAGTTTGGTGATTTCTTTCAAAACTAAACATACTCTAACCATACAATCTAGACTCTTGCTCCTCAGTATTTATCTGAAGGAGGTGAAAACTTATGTCTACACAAAAGCCTGCACATGGATGTTTACTGCAGCTCTATTCATATCTGCCAAAACGCAGAAGCAACCAAGATGTCCTTCAGTAGGTAAATGGTTAAATAAACTGTAGTAAATTTAGAGAAGAGAATACTATTAAGCACTAATAAGAAATGAGCCATCGGGGCGCCTGAGTGGCTCAGTGGGTTAGGCCGCTGCCTTTGGCTCAGGTCATGATCTCAGGGTCCTGGGATTGAGCCCCGCATCGGGCTCTCTGCTCAGCAGGGAGCCTGCTTCCTCCTCTCTCTGCCTGCCTCTCTGCCTGCTTGTGATCTCTCTCTGTCAAATAAATAAATAAAGTCTTTAAAAAAAAAAAAAAAGAAATGAGCCATCATCAAGCTAGGAAAAGACATGGAAGAACTTAAATCCATATTAATAAGTGAACTAAGCCAGCCTGAAAAGGCTACATACTATATAATTCCAACTATATCACATTCTGTGAAAGATAAAACTTTGAGATAGTAAAAAGATCAGGGGTTATGAGGGGGGAGGGAGATGAATAAGTGGAGCACACAGGATTTCTAGGACTATAAAACTACTCTGTTTGATACTGTAATGCTGGATACAAGTTATTATATATTTGCCCAGCCACAGAATATACAAAGCTTTGGGTGAACCCTAATGTAAACCATGGGCTTTGGGTGACAATGATGTGTCACTATAGGCCCATCATTGGAAACAAATGTACAATTTTGGTGGGGGATGCTGGTAATGGGGGAGGTTACACAAATGGGGTAGGGGGGTATATGTACTTTCCTCTCCATTTTGCTATGAAGCTACAATTGCTCTAAAGAATAAAGTCTATTAATAGAAGAAAAAGTAAATGTAAGAAACTAGGTGTATATGAAAGAGAAGATAAGGCATTGAGTATTAATCCCATTTAAAGGACAAAATAGGGTTGCAATTTTAAAAAGTCAAATTAAATGGACAGATGGAACCAGAGGTCATCTGAACCTTGAAAGGCTGCCAATCAAAAAATGTCAGAGTTGCAAGTATTTTTCTATATAATTAAACATAACAACATCAACCATATAATATTATCTAGATAATCCAGTCTTCTTTGGTCAGCCTTAAGCACCAGAGGCACTGAAGGGAATGGGCTCTCTCACCAATCTTCTCCTTATGTTATGGGAGGCACTACTAGATCAAGGCATTCTTTCCTACTAAATTCCTTCTCAGTACCTCACATCAGAAGGCATAAGGGGGGACGCCTGGGTGGCTCAGTTGGTTGGACGACTGCCTTCGGCTCAGGTCATGATCCCGGAGTCCCAGGATCGAGTCCCACATCGGGCTCCCAGCTCCACGGGGAGTCTGCTTCTCTCTCTGACCTTCTCCTTGCTCATGCTCTCTCTCACTGTCTCTCTCTCAAATAAATAAATAAAATCTTTGAAAAAAAAAAAAAAGAAGGCATAAGGGATGAAATCAGTATTTGCCATCCCTGCTCTAGAGAATTCCCCTGCAGTTCAGGAATTCCCCAAGACCAACAATGAAAAGTTTAGAAGGAAGGGCAAAACAAGGTAATGGGCAGTGGGCTGCCTGAGAGTAAAAATGTAATCTATTTTTGTTTCTTCCTTAGTTCCTCAGCCAATTGAGGCTAACCTTTCCCAATCATCCAAATTATCCTGTTTACCCTACTTCTTCCCACTCACTAAAAGTCTAGTCATAGAAGCTATCTTGGTTTGGTCTTCCTCAAAGCAAAAGACACTACTTGGATGGTGACTAGCCTTGACTGCTCCAAGCGTTATTTATAACTCCCATTAAGAGCATTTTTGGCCAAAATAATATGCCAACTTTCACAACAGAGAGTTTTATTGCCTGTTGACTACATCCTCCCACTTCCACTTGTAGTTCTCTCATTTTTCCTATCCCACATCCCCACCCAAGTCTTCTGGGCTAAAATTGTCAAGGTTCAGTACCTTGCAGCTGTCTGGCATTTGGTCCTACACTGGGATCTGAGTATCACTATAGGGAAGAAAGTATGTGTAGCCAGTGATTCTCAACTGGAATTCTTATACTCAATAGCTAACCTGCAAAAGCAGAGTATATTCCATCATTCTTCAAATATAAAATTCTGAACTATTATATGTATGAATTATGCTGGGCATACTAAGTAATATAAAGAATAGATTCCTATTCTTAAGGATGTTACAATTTAGTAGGAGGAAAATGGCTGTTCTAAGAGCTTTACAAAGTTAATCCTCATAAGAATGAGTAGTTACTACTATTATCCTCACATTACAGATAAAAAGACTTGAGTACTAAAAGAATCAGCAATTAGTACAAAATCACATAGCGGTAATAGTAAAGCCATGAATCAAACCAAGAGAGCAGGGCTCTTAACTACATTTTGCATCATGTAATTCAAGAGACTATGTGACAACTATGATGAAATACACATGAGCTGCTACAAGAAATTAAAAAAGAAATAAAAATTTCTTGTTGAGCAAAGGAAAAGCCTTGGATTCAGTTGGGTCTATAAAGATTTGATACAGTTTGTATTATAAAAGCTAATCTGTGGATCTGATGTTTTACTTCATAAACCTCTCTTTTTTTTTCTTCTTTCCTTTTAGGGTGTTCTCATACTTAAATCTAACTTTACAAAACGCAAACCCTTCCTTTGATCATGCAGCCCCCCTCCATTTCTCATTTTAAGCTTTCTTTAAGGTCTGCACTGGTTTTCAATCCCACATCTCCTATTCAGTCATCAACCCTCTGCCCCCTGGAATCTGTAGGCATTACTCTACTGATAAGGCTCTTGCTAAGATCACCAATTACCATAGAAATGCTAAATCTAATGGATATTTTTC